AAAAAAAAAAATCTGTTTAAAATCTGTTTTTCCGTTAACCAGCTGTCGCACCCCTACGAACGACAACCCTCAGAAGTCGAAACTTGTGCGAGCTAAGGATTAACGAGGTCTTACCTTTTAACGTGTGATTCCTAACACGGGTAAGACGATAGCAAGTGAAGATCGATTGTTCAGACTAGGGCTTGAACCACCGACCAACACGGCAGTCAATTCGAGTGAGTGAACAAAGCACCCATGCCGAACCGCTTGGCTACCGACCGACCGTATGAATTGAAGAATTGAAGCGTATGTTGAAAAATGAACATTTCCACTAGAACAAAAACACTGTCTTCCGACGTATAGCTAACCAAATTGGCATCATCAGGAGATGAAAGGGTGACCTGTTTAACTGAAATGCACTCTGTGATAAAATACGTGGGCTATTCAAAAAATAAGGTGAAAGTTAAAATTTCGCGGTCTACGTACAGTCGATTAGCGATTTTTTATGTTGGTACATTCGTCACAAACATATGTTCACAGTTTTAGCTGCTTAGCATGTTCAGTTTGTTGGTGAGAGGCATAAAAATTGAAATTGTTTAGCCTGTTTGGCGATTTTCTGCTATCGAAAAAGATGAATCAAAGAATTTGTGTCAAATTTTGTGTGAAAAATGGAATTAAGTGCTCAAAAACACTTGAGCATTGCTCAGGAATTGTTGAATGATGTCACGGCAACCCAGATTTCGTTAAAAGAGTGACGAATCATGGGTAAATTGTTATTACATTGAAAAAAAAGTCCAATCGTCTCAATGGAAGAGCCCAGGAGAGCCACTACAAAAAAAAGGACGCCACGTTCGCTCAAATGTCAAGCCTTTGCTCACTGTTTTCTTCAATTATCGTGGCGTAGTGTATTAGGAGTTCTTGCTGCATGGTAGTACGATCAATAAAGACTATTATTTTGAAGTTATGCCCCGTTTGCGAGAAGCAATCACCACAATGCACCTGCTCATTAGTCATTGCTTGTTCGTAATTTTTTGGTCAGAAACAACACTGTTATCATGCATCAACCACCATATTAACCAGATTTGGCCCCCTGTGACTTTTTCCAGTTTTCAAGTTCAAATCGACCCATGAAAAGACGGCGTTCGCGACTGTTGAGGACATACAAACCGAATCACTGAGAGAGCTCAAGGACATATCAAAATGTGCATATCAAAACTGCTTCGAGGTTAGGAAAAAAACGCTGGCACAAGTGTATTATATCTGAGGAGGTGTATTCTGAAGGGGACAAAATAGAAATTGATGAATAAATAATAATTTTTTGTGAAAAATGAAGAATATCAAAAGTGTAATGCTCTGTTACCTCATAAACGAGTTTTTTCTCTCAATTATCCTGACATTCAGGAACTCTCTGTACCTGCCTTCTTATTTATTTATTTTTTAGAACTGATTAATAATTTTTCAAATTGTTTCAGTTCATCACCAGACAGTTTCAATACTGAAAAGACGGACAATAAACTTACCCCAACAAATATTTCTTCTATATCTTTATACAAATTAGTAGTACCACATTTACGTTGTGAGGTGACTGATATTAGAGATGCTGCAGTATATGCGCTTGGAAATATAAATGGATCTGCTTTAAGGTATTGTTATATATTTTATTATGTGAATGTGCGAAATGTCATATTCTTTCTAGGGATTTGTTTGATGAATTAACCGTTTACATTCGAGAAGCGATTGATAAAAAACAGGAGAATGTGAGAAGGAGGAGAAGGAGAGATGCTTTAAGACTGCAAATTATGAGACTGCTAGAGTATATTGCTGAAAACGGAACTTTTGCAATAAGCTCCTGTGTATTAGACAGAGATTCTCAATCTCTAATTCCCATATTGGTCGAATTCATAGATGGGGTTCGATATTATTTAGAAAATGAACCTGACAAAAATTCAAGCAGCGTTAGGGACCTCACCCTACATTTCTGTTATTTCATCAGGAAAATGATCAAAAGTTTCAGCTGTAAGTAACTTAATGTTATTTCTTACTCAATATTTTATTGGAATGAAAAAGCATAAGGTGTAATCCCCATTCCACTACAAGATATGCTAAAACTTCAACTGGATGGTCCCAAAAATATAGCCAATACAGTAGAATATTGAAGATATTTTTTGGCATGCTATGTAATATTAATCATTTACATTATTCTTTCCGATGCAAATCGAAATATAGGTTAGGTTAGGTTAGGTCCAAAGTGAGTGGGTCTATTCCAACCTCCACCGCAACTCGCAAAGGTTTATTGTGGCTGACAACTATTCACACTCGACCAAATGAACCCAGCTTCTTAACGAAGTCGATTACTTTGTATGGTGAGTGGTCTTTCAGTCCAGCAGGGCAGACACAAAGTATGTGCTCTGCTGTTTCATCATTTTCCAAACAGAGGTGACACACACCGTCTTCCGACAGTCCCGAGTCTCTGCATATGATGATTCAAAGGACAGTGACCTGTAAGAAGGCCTGTTAGACATCGTAGTTCATCCCTACTGTAGTCCAACAACTGTTTGATATCAAGCTTCGAAGGGTGAATAAACGCCTTGGAGTGAACCAATCCTGGACTATTCTGCCAGAAGTCCATAAATCTACTTACCATCCATGTGTTCAATCTTTGTTTGGCAAAGCCTAAAGCGATGCCAATAACAGGTTCTGGTCCGATGAAGCTGCTTGCAGCACCCTCCTTTGCAAAGAAGTCAGCAGCCTCATTGCCTTCCAGGCCAGTATGACCAGGAATCCAGACCAGTTTTCTCTTTTTCTCTTTTATCTGATCGAAATATTACAGGCATATCATGGACATAGCATATCATAACTTGTTTCTTCTGCGGCAGACATCGAGGACGTAGGTTATACCTCGAAGTCTCAGCAATGACTGACTGGGGATCTCCTAGTTCACTCATATTTATAATTTTAGAGGGTGGTGGGGGTGATGGTTGGGATGGTGGTAGTGGGATGTCCATGCGAATGCTCACTCCAGATTGGTCCGTACTTTAGCTGGGGTGTTCTGATTAGTCCAAGTTGTTGACAGGTACGCCACTGGTGGGATGTCGATCGGAGTTGTATTCTAGCCCATTTCTGACTGGATTCCAGGTTCAATTAAGCCATATACCGTTTTCTTTTCTATTGAAATAGTTGGGATGTAAATAGATCTCAATGGTTTCTTTATGAAGTCGTGCCTGGTGAGTTGTTGAATTAGACAAGACAGCTGTTTCTTCGTATTTTATTATGTGGTCAGTTTCTGCTTTGAAATGTTCTGTGCTTGCGTTATTGTATCCTGGTGTTGATATTGCATTTGGTAGTTCTGATATAAACTTAGCCACAGAAACATAACCATGTAAACACCTTCGGACTTGACTGTCGCTCCTACGTCGCGTTAATGCTCATACAACTCATTGGATCTCCCTGGAAACTGATGGAACAGGTCTCGAAAAGACAGGGCATTCTAATGTTTTCGAGAGGAGACACAAGTAGGGCTGAGCGTAACCTTGACGCAGTCGATCGGAGAAGACCAATGTCGGCTAGCGTTAGTTTTTTTTTCAGGGAATAATTTACAACAGTATCAATGTATAATTTATATCAGAGTCTACGTTTTATCAGTGTAGTTTATAAACTCTCCAATTTTTTTTAGTGGAAGGCTGCAGAAGTTTATTGAAGAGGGATCTTAGGAGGAATCTGTTTACTTTATTCACCAACTGGGCAGGAAAATATGGGATTCCTAACGTTAAAATGACATTGGAAGGAGATATGGCCAATAAGAAACATATAGAACTTCAACATGCATCGTTGCAAGCAATGAGTTCACTATTATGCTGCGGACTCTGTTTTGATTCCTTGACTGAAGAAAGTGCGTACTATTTATGGTTAGATGGGCTTTTGAATAGCACCGACGAAAAGGTAGAAAAATGCAGTTCATGACGTTTCAAAGACAAATAAAAGTTTTTTGAATTGTTTAAGGTTTACAGTTTGGCTCAAGAAACCGTAATTTTATTGTTGGAATCAAATCCTGATGTATCTCCTCTACTAGACTGGGTAGTTGATAAGTGCTACACAGGAACAGCTGTAGTTGCTGATAGTTGTTTTATGGCTTTGGCAACCATATTCAGTGCAAGGTATTTTTTCCTTATGAACTAACAGTTCATTCTGAATATTTATGAATGAAGGTTGGAATTTTTTAAAATTTGTTTTTTTTCAGAGAGTATCCATGTGATCACTATACAGCCATCATCAATGTAACTTTGATGAACACAGGATGTCCAAGGCAAGTTGTTAGAGATACTGCTTTACAGTTGCTTCAGTTACTCGACAAGAGGTTCTTTGGTTGTGTGGGCCCCTTGGCAGAAAACGATTTAGGTGAGTGCCTTTTTAGTAGTTTCAGATCAAAGAATATTCTCAACATTTTGTAACATTGGCCTCAAAGAGCAAAGCTTGTGTGTTTGGCCTGATATAAATAAGCCTATGGAATACCACTCAAATACTAAAACGAGCCGTCACTTCTCCTAGGATACATCTATCTCTAAGCTATCAAACTACACACCTTTCTACACCTTCTAGGTACTTGATGAACTAGTATCATTTTGCTAGAGATTGAAAAGTGAACGTATGTCAATATTAAAAGTATATGTTTTATGGGTTTACTGTAGAAATACGAATTACATATGTTTGTTTAATATGCAAAAACNATATTCTCCTATATAAAGGAGTGTCTGACAACACTCATGCCGCCATACCATCAACACCCACCATCAGTTATGACCCGTTTGTCCTTCTGGCAAACATCAGTTCAAAGGGTAAGGGAGCCAGGCTCCAACCTGTCTGAAATCAACACGACGTGCAGGCAATAAGTCCAGTCATCACCCGAAGACTATTGTGGATGCTAATAATCGAAACGTCGTGAAGTAACTTGGCTTGGAATCTTTTAATTTTACATTGCTTGTTAATAATTTTTAGTAATTTTTTTAATCTTTTTAATTTTTGTAGATTCTTTCAGGGATTTAAAATCAATTTATATCATATTAGACAATGGAAGTCCGATCTAATGAAATGCACCACGAAACATTGTTAACCACCTTCAAATAAACAATTTACTTTTACCTTACTTTATAGAAATTCAATAAATAAGTTGTCTTCCAGAGAAGAACAAGTGTTTAATGAATATTCAATAAGGGCGAGCCCTAGACTGCAAGTCGCGAAGCCTTAGATGTTACACACTCAAGTATTAATGTTGATAGATTAGTGTTAGTTCTCTCTGTGAAATCCTGCTAGGCTTTGGCCTCTTCAGGGGCTGTGTGAATTACAAAAAAATCTGTTATGTTTATTATAATCTAGGTTAGTGGTTTTTGTTAGATTATTTCTGGGAGTATTCTTGTGCATTGCGGTTCTTGTTTCTTATGTGGCTTGAGGAGGTGTGGGAAAAATAAGTTCGTACACCAAGCAAAATACTTCTGGTAAAGAGATTTTATTCCCAGTCGGTTGGATCGTATGACAGAAATTTGTTGAAAATACGAGTAAGTTTCTAGATAATAAAAACAGGAACATAGATAATGTTTCTTACTTCTTGACATATTACATACCTAGACCAGGCAGAAAAGTTCAAATTAATTCCTTTTTTCAATACCGCTAAGGTTCCAGAAACACTTGTTTGCAGTTACAATATGCGAAATCCACCACGAAGAATCCAGTTTCACATGGATTGTACAGTGCTAACTTTTCACCATGATACTTTTTTCAAATTACGAAATACATAAAATGTGTTTGAATTATATCAAAGAAGTTACTTACAGCGCCATCTAACCGCGAATAGATCAAGCAATAATATTGATAATTATGTCGATGCCGATCCCAGCATTTAAATGGGAATGAAATATGACATGAAAAAATAGGTTAACCAAAAGATGTAAACAAACATGGTACAGGCGGTATGAATGATGACAAACAAAAACATATTCATGTTAAGGTGCGTATTCACCAAAAAAGCGAGCACGAGCGAGCATTCGTGTATGTTTGCTCGTGTTCGCTCGTGTTTGCTCGACATATTGATGTTTCGTCCACACCAGAGCGAATATCTTCTAGTTCGAAGTACCACCTTCTTCTCGATCTTTTCTGAACGCGAACAAGCATACGTTCGCCCGCTCGCTAGCCCGTATTCACCAGAAGATTATTGATGCAGAATGCTCGTTCACTCTTGTTCGCTCGTGCTCGCTTTTTTGGTGAATACGCACCTTTAGGTAAATTACGAGCGGTAGGGAAGCTACGCTACAGGCTGGAGTTGTCCTTAGTGGAGTTGCTGAGAGTGTTCCGGATACAGTTGCTGGTGGTTCGTTGGTTCAGGTTCGGGTTCGGGTAGGCCTTGGGGGATGGGTTGAACAATTTCATTTTCGTCTTCTCTGGCAGTGGGCTGTCCTCTACCTGATCGCCAGCGGGATCTCGTCGAGGATGTTCCTCGCTGCAAAACTCGTGATTCTTTCGTGGTTACAACTCTATTTCGCATGAAAACGATAGAAATATTTTTGATGTTTTTCTGATTATTTTCAATAGTTTCAAATTGACATATTATTACGGCGTCACGAGGTAAACCAGTATACCTCCAACCTTGAAAACAATAACACACCTCTGAAGATGCTAGCCACTTATGCTGCCGATACGCGAAGAAAAAATTCTAACAAAAGACCAAAAGTTGACATTTCAATTACACAATCTTTTCAAAAACCCTTGGTGTGTTATTCCCTTCACATGTAATGACATATTATTCAATAATTGAATTCCAATTCTTGTTTTCATTGCATTTTAGTAATGTCTAAAGTCCTGACTCATATGTTTTGATTTTCAATATTTTACAGATTGACTTCTTCTTGGGAACATTGTGTATTCTTTTTTGGCACCGCCTTCAGAGTTGAAGTTTTTCGTCTATGCTTGGATGATGATCGGGTCGATGTGGTTCTGCTATCTGAAATTAAAATATGTTCAGATCAAATGAGAATATGTCTTTGGTCGTAATATACAGAAATTTAATAGTCGAATCAAAAAAAATCGCATGTATTTTAATTATTTTTCAGCACAATAAATAGTGTTATAAATCATGCCCTGAAGAATATAACGCCGGCCGCCACTGGTAGCCATAAACCAATTGTGACGTAGCTAACAGCGCGTGAATGTACGATGTTCGCTGCCGCTTTAGATGTAGCGAGAATAATGCTACCGACTTCGATGGAATTCAGGCGAATTTTCTACCGCATTCGATTACGATATATAAACGCTAGCCACGAGCATATCGACACAGTCAGAGGAAGTTACAGTGCGGTACGCGAAGTGATCTAGTAAGGCGATAGACATTCGAATAATAGTTTAAGTGTTTGTTGTATTTTAAAGTGAAATGAAGTTGAGTTTGATTATTGTTCAGTGTAGTCAATTATTGCTCAACCCACGGGAAAAAACGTAACAATAGTAAATGGGCGTTCCATTTTTCGATACTTTTCTTTGGAATCAACAGGCTCCTTCATTCAGATTACAACTGATTTGATACGATAGTACTTTTATTTAAAATCGATACATCAACATCTACATAGAGGTAGGATAGTCACTAGTAGATAACTCTCAAGTAAACACGTATTTTTACGAGCTCTGTGAGATTCGCGTTTTTGAGTAGAAAAACATCGCCTTTTGAATCCGTTTTTTTCGAGATCACGTTTATCTCGTATATAATAAACATCATTGTGAACTTAGTTATCCAAAACTCCCAAGCGTGAGGAGTGTTTAATTACAATCCTGCACCTCCCAAGGAAAAGGATTGTGAGGAGCTAATTAAAGCAATAAGAGATCTCAATTCAGTGGTCAATGCACTTCAGGAAGCTTTGAAGAAGCTGAAAGAAAATTTAGATATGGATGCTATTTTGAACGAAATAAATGATGGCAGCGACGAAAAAAAATATAATAATGTATAATGTCCAGCAGCAACACAATGAATCAGTCACCAACGAAGAAGGGTGTAAAAAGAAAGTAACGGAAATTATTCAAGCGATTCCCGCTCTGTTCATATCCAGTGTAAGAATCGAAAAGAATAATATAGTTCGAAAAGAATAATATAGTAAGAATCGAAAAGAATAATATAGTTTAAAAAACTAATAAACACGCTTTTCAAGAACATCGAACTAAAAAGGTAAAAATATTTTTTTCTTCAAATAAGCTTGCAACAATAACGAACAATTCAATGTTGCACAGAGCATTCTCACTGCCTTTGTCTGCAGACAATCTAGCTAGGGAAATTGATACAATTACACAGATAGGTCATAATAATGGTTTCAACGCAGATACTATTCAGAAGTTAGTCAGGAAACAAAGCCGGAAATTCACTTACAGATTAATATATTCTCAGGTCAAACAACCAGAAATCAAGAAATGGGTAACGCTAACATATTTTGGAAAAACAACAGAAATAATCGCAGGTTTCTTCAGAAAAAACAATGTGGAAGTAGCATTCAGACCACATGCCAGGTTACCTCATTTCCTTTTCAATGCCAAAGATAAGGTCGACAAGTTGGAAAAATATGGATTTTATTAGCTTAAGTGCCCGGAGTGTAATAGTGTTTATGTGGGACAGTGCGGACGAAATTTCCAAAAACGGTATGCTGAACATGAAAGGTCCTTGTCCTTGGAAATTCACAAGCATACACATTGCGGGTGCAACCTGTTAAATGACCAAATCGATTCAATTTACTCTCCGGTTTTTAAATTGGCACATCCGCATTGCGAACTGTAAATTCAGGCACTCAGTCGAGTACCTGAATGGTGTATATTGGCGAATGTAATGAATCATTGTTAGTTTATTGTATAAGTTTGAGAATGTCCATATAGAACAAAACTGCAGTAACGTTAGTTACAAATAAAAGTGGTAAAAAACATTGAAATTTTCATTTCTCTTTTCATTAGTTCGATGTTCTTTTAAAGCGTGTTTTTTTTAGTTTTTTAAACTATAATTATTTTTCATTTTTAGTTTCTTATGCTATAAAAGCGTGTTTTTTAGTCTTTCTAAACTATAGGCAAATGAAATCAGTTAAACCTTGACTAATTTTGTTGCTAATTTTGCAGAATGCTAAAAAATGTTCTCGAACCTCTACAGTTTTAGAAAAATCATCAACAAAAACTAATCTAACAACAATTGTGATTTGTTCTTGATGAATAATGTAAGGTGTTCAATCAAGGATAATTGAAAAATATTTGCACATTTTTAAGGATTCAATTATATTTTTTTAACTTTTTCTCCTACTAAGGTGATTATTTCATTTTGGATTTTATCGCCCAAATAATGTGGCATTTTTGCCATCTTTTTAAATCCTGCCGATATGGTCAGTCATTAC